CCCGGGACTCCAGGATCGTGCCCTGGGCCAAAGGCAGGCGCGAAACCGCTGAGCCACCCAGGGTTCCCCTCTATCAAATGTTCAAAGAAAAAACAATACCTATTCTACTAAAGCTGTTCTGAAAGATAGAAAGGGATAGAATACTTCCAATCTCGTTCTATGAGGCCAGCATCACCTTAATTCCAAAACTAGACAAAGACCCCACCAAAAAAGGAGAATTATAGACCAATATCTCTGATGAACACAGATGCAAAAATTCCCAAGAAGATACTAGCCAAAGGATCCAACAGTACATTAAGTAGACTATTCACCATAACCAAGTAGGATTTGTCCCCAGGATGCAAGGCTGGTTCAACACTTGTAAAGTAATCAATATGATAGATCATATCAACAAGAGAAAAAACCAGAACCTTATGATCCTCTCAATAGATGCAAAGAACACATTTGACAAAATGCAGCATCCATTCCTGATCACAACTTTTCAGAGTGTAGGGATAGAGGGAATATTCCTCAGCATCTTAAAAGCCATCTGCAAAAAGCCCACAACAAATATCATTCTCAATGGGGAAACACTGGGAGCCTTTCCCCTAAGATCAGGTACATGACAGGGATGTCCACTTTCACCACTGCTATTCAATATAGTACTAGAATTCCTAGCCTCAGCAATCAGGCAACAAGAAGAAATAAAGGCATTCAAATTGGCAAAGAAGAACTCAAACTCTCCGTCTTTGCAGATGACATGATACTGTATGTAGAAAACCCAAAAGACTCACCCCAAGATTGCTAGAACTCATACAGCAATTTGGCAGTGTGGCAGGATACAAAATTAATGCTCAGAAATCAGCTGTCCTACATAGCTATGATCATCAAGACAATATGGAACTGGCACAAAAACAGACACATAGATCAATGGAACAAAATAGAGAACCCAGAAATGGCACCTCAACTCTATGGTCAACTAATATTCACCAAAGCAGGAAAGACTATCCCCTGGCAAAAGGACAGTCTCTTCAATAAATGGTGCTGGGAAAATTGGACAGCCATGTGCAGAAGAATGAAACTAGACCATTTTCTTACACCATACACAAAGATAAACTCAAAATAGATGAAAGATCTAAATGTGAGACAAGAATCCATCAAAATCCTAGAGGAGAACACAGGCAATACCCTTTATGAACTGGGCCACAGCAACTTCTTGCAAGATACATCCATGAAGGCAAGGGAAACAAAAGCAAAAATGAATTACTGGGACTTAATCAAGATAAAAGCTTCTGCACAGCAAAAGAAACAGTCAACAGAACTAAAAGACAACCTACAGAATGGGAGAAGATATTTGCAAATGACATATCAGATAAAGGGCTAGTTTCCAAAATCTATAAAGAACTTATTAAACTCAACAGCAAAGAAACAAACAATCCAATCATGAAATGGGCAAAAGACATGAGGAGAAATCTCACAGAGGAAGACATAGACATGGCCAACAAGCACATGAGAAAATCTTCCCCATCACTTGCCATCAGCGAAATGCAAATCAAAACCACAATGAGATCCCACCTCACACCAGGGAGAATGCTGAAAATTAACAAGGCAGGAAACAACACATGTTGGAGAGGATGTGGAGAAAGGCGAACCCTCTTGCACTGTTGGTGGGAATGTGAACTGGTGCAGCCACTCTGGAAAACTGTGTGGAGGTTCCTCAAAGAGTTAAAAATAGACCTGCCCTATGACCCAGCAATTGCACTGCTGGGGATTTACCCCAAAAATACAGATGCAGTGAAACGGCAGGATACCTGCACTCTGATGTTTCTAGCAGCAATGTCCACAGTAGCCAAACTGTGGAAGGAGCCTCGGTGTCCATCGAAAGATGAATGGATAAAGAAGACCTGGTCTATGTATACAATGGAATATTACTCAGCCATTAGGAACGACAAATACCCACCATTTGCTTCAACGTGGAAGGAACTGAAGGGTTTATGCTGAGTGAAATAAGTCAATCGGAGAAACACAAACATTATATGGTCTCATTCCTTTGGGAATATAAAATTAGTGAAAAAGAATAAAGCAGAAAAGAGAGAGAGAGATGACTGGGAAATATCAGTGAAGGTGACAGAACATGAGAAACACCCAACTCTGGGAAACGAACAAGGGGTAGGGGAAGAGGAGTTGGGCGGGGGGATGGGGTGACTGGGTGATGGGCACTGAGGGGGGCACTTGATGGGATGAGCACTGGGTGTTATGCTAGATGTTGGCAAATTGAACTCTAATAAAAAAATTTTAAAACTGTTCTGATGAACATAGGGGTGCATTTATCTTTCTGAATTAGTGTTTTTATTTCATTTGATTAATTACCCACAAGAGGAATTGTTGGATCATATGGTAGTTCTATTTTTATATTTTACAGATCTTCCATGCTGTTTTCCACAGTGGCTGAACCAATTTACGTTCCTACCAACAGTGCACAAGGATTCCCTTTTCCCCACATCCTCATCAGCACTTTATATTTCTTGTCTTTTTGAGAATAGCCATTCTGAAAGATGTGAGGTGATTTCTTATTGTATTAATTTTCATTTCCTTCATAATTAGTGATGTTGAGCATTTTTTGTGTTAGGCACATAAAATGTGGTATAATAATTACAGAAATACCTGAATATTATTTTGTAAGTAATGGGATATTAGCACTAATTTTTAAAAAGTGCAAAGGTCATAACTTACATAAAGTTGTTAAAGGTTAGAACTGTGCTTAGGAAAATGAATAAAATGATAGTCATCAAGAAATTATTAAGTCTAAAAAAAAAGAAATCCTTAAGTCTTGATATAGCTTTTAAAACTAATCATATTATTGTAAAATATTTTTAAAGGATTTTATTTATTTGTTTGTTTGTCTATAGAGCATAAGGGGCAGAAGGAGAGGGAGAGAGAAACTCAAGATCCACACTAAGCACAGAACCCAAATTGGGGCTGAATTCTACAACCCTGAGATCATGACCTGAGCAAAAACTAACAGTCCAATGTTCAACCAACTGAGCCACCCAGGTGCCCCAGTTGTATTTTTAATTATCCAGTTCAGAAACTGGGCATTTCTAATATTTTCTGTAAGCTTCTTAATTTCACTTATTACTAGAATAGGCTCTAGACTACATAAATACAGAACTTCTGGCTCAAAAAATTTTAAGATTTCTGGTTATGTATGTCTCTATATATTACAAACCATCCTAAAAGCAGGCATAGACTTACACATCAAGATAATTACACATTTTTTCTTTTTTTTTTAATTTTTTATTTATTTATGATAGTCACACACAGAGAGAGAGGCAGAGACATAGGCAGAGGGAGAAGCAGGCTCCATGCACCGGGAGCCTGAGGTGGGATTCGATCCCGGGTCTCCAGGATCGCACCCTGGGCCAAAGGCAGGCGCTAAACCGCTGCGCCACCCAGGGATCCCCTTACACATTTTTTCTATACATGCATTAGCCTTTGATTATTTTCTTCATTTCCATATAATAATAAAAATCATATTTATTATGTTGTCATTATTAATTTAAAGACAATCATTTTCTTTCAACTTTCTACTCTCTAGTTAAAATATTGTTTTCATATGTCTTCTCACTTATTACTACAGTCTACACTTTCTGAAACCACCTCATTACATAAGTTTAAACCAAGCCTTTCCAACGATGACAACTCAATTATTAGTTTGAGATCCATATTTTATGCAAAGATAGGAATAACTCAAAACCAATGCATTAGTATGTAAATAAACTGGAAATACTTATGTAAATAATCAGGATAACATGGTTATCACATAAGTAATGTGATGAGGCACAAATTTTGAGCTTGAAAAAATTTTCCGTAACTTAGAAAGACTGGCATAAATATCCAGGGAATTTTATTTTCATGCCAGAAGTTAGAGAACAAATTTCATGACAGATCTCTATGCTTGTTTTGTTCTCTTTTTCCTTACCATAATCCCTTTCTGATTCATTTCTGCATATCCAAACCTACATGTCTTTGTGGGAAATATTAGAACTTACCTTTTGAAGAATTTTTAACAGGTTAAGCATATTTTAAATAATTCTACCCCCTATTGTATATACCATTAAAAACTCTACCTATTTTAAGGTATTTTTAAACAGTTTGATACACTAAATTATGAGAAGATTTTTCAGAAAAAATATTGTTCAACTAAATACAAGAGATTGAAAACGCTCACTAGCAAAAACCATACATTATAACAACACCAAGAATGAACTCTAAAGTAAACTAGGGATCCTGAAAAATAACGATTCATCAATATAGGTTCATCGACTGTAACAAGTGTACTATGATGTGAAATGTTGGTGAAATATTCTGTGCATGTGTGAGGGCAGAATGTAAAAACTGTGTACTTTCTACTTAGTTTTCCTATGAATGTAAAACTGCTTTAAAATTAAAGTCTACAAAAAAAATGTTTCCTAGTAATTATAAACATTTTCACCATGTTTAAGTTATGAATAAACTTTATTGGAAAGTCGTAAAATAAAAATCTAATTAAAACAGACCTCATATAAATATTTGTAAGTTAGTAATAATGAGACCTCTTAATGAGATAAATTTAGCTATTAATAAAATTAAATAGTACAGTTTCAATTTACTATGTAAAGAATTCCTATGTGAAAGAAATTTGACTAGTATAAATACATGGAGTAAAACTTTTGCTTAATATTTTGCTTACATAGGAATATTTTGTACCAATTAATTCCTCATAAATAAAATGTTTCCTGTTATAATAAAAATGTCCAAAAATGAAGGAGAAAATAATTTTGTGAAAAAACTAAGATATGAGAGTTAGATATGAAAATATTCACAGTCAAGAGGGGTATACCATATTATTTCTGAGTTTCTTGTAAAAATACGGTTTCCATACATTCTTTCCCTCATTATATTGAACTTATTCTTACAGAAAAAATTGAATCAGTTTGAGAAAACTATAACATAAATTCTAAATTATATATAAAACTTACATGCTTTATGGAATTTTTGTTTAACATCATGAATAGTAGATGTTTGCACCACCTAAGAAAGAAAAGAAAACATATACAGAGAATTATTTTAAAAAGTATTTGTTTGCTATATATCTAAAAAGAAAATATAGTCTTCAAAAGTATAAAATTACTATGATTTAGCCACTGTGTTTTGTTTGACTATTTAATCATTACTGCTTTGACAACCTTGAAGTATTGCATCAATATCTTTTCTCTAAAATTTTGTTTGTAGCAGTAATGGTGTTATATAAGTTTATCTAAATGTTCATCTCCAAAATATATTTTTGAATGTTCTTTTCCCATTATATTCAATGATGAGACTATCAATTAAAATATGAATAAATATACAAGATAGAGAGAAGGTAAAAGAGTTTATAGAGAGGAGCTTCAGTATATGAAATTGATTTACATGGGCAAAAGAGGGTAATGTTTACTTCAAAATATCATCAGAAAAAATAGCCTATCCAACTTCTCCTTAATTATGTTATTAAAACTGTCATCCAAAAATGCTATAGGTCAATCAAAATTCAAGTTAGATGTATTAAATAAATAATTGGATATTTTATTATTACTATTTATTCATGTTAGATACATGGTTTCATCAGAATTGCAAAACGTATGAGGATAAGAGTTTTATTTAAATACTTCAAACCATCACATATTTTTTAACTTTCTGCCTTTGATCATATCAAACTTGCAAAGTGAAATTTTTCCCCACTGTGTTGCCTTTCATTGGCTTATGAAAAAACCGACAATACTTCAAAGTCTATAGAAAAGGACATATTCATTCCCATACAAATATATTTATTTTCTCTAAACACATATAGAATATTATGTTCATGATTTATTGTGTTGATACACTAAAATCTTATAGCTATTTTGGGAGAGGGAAGTGAAAGATAAAAGTGTGTCATGGACGGCACTTAATAATACCCCAAGCAGTTCGTATTAACATTATTATATTAAATATTTAATTAAATATTAGAAGTATAACAATGAATGCATTTATTTTACCATATTCCACTCTGATTAGTAGATCTATAATAGGATATGCTACACTATTCATAATTTTTTTTCTGATTTCTTCTATGGATATAGTTTACTAAGTAAGAAAGTTCTAAGACTTAAGCACTGAATGATGATGTCAATTCCCATGTGAGTAGTGCAGTAAATAACAAAAGGAGCTTAAAGAATTGGTATGAAAATTTCAAATATTTTATAACATTGCTCTTGTTTGGAAGATGTTAGAAAACATTTGTAAAACAGTTTTTAGAGAAGGTAATATATATTTAAATACTTGAACATATATTTCATTTTAGTATTGATAATTTAACTTTTATATTTGAATTGCATTTTTTTAAAGCATGGTGCTTTGTTTTAACATTGTTTATTGTTTTATCTTAATGTTACTGTGTCACAAAACAATTTTATACGTTGCTTCCTCTGATAAGGACGCCTAAAATCCACATACAATTTTCTAGAGTATCAACTATTTACCACTCATTCAAGGGCCATCTAATTTGGGAAAACAGATAATTTTCATAATCAATAACTCCTCAGAGTTTGCTGTTGCTTCGCTATCACTTAATGAATGCATTATCTTGTGTTTACATAGTGATTGTATCAACTGTCTGTAAAGTCCTTGAGGACAACGACCTGGCGTCATTGTAGTCTGCACTTCAACATCTAGTGTACCAAATAGTATATCATAATGTTTAAAGTCACTTCTGTTGAAATAAAAAATAGATCTGTGACTGCAAAGTCATGTGAAAACAAGTTTTAAAATCTGGCATGAAAAGTCTTTCCCAAGTAGATTTCTGTCTAAAAGGTATGTGCTTTACTAGGATATTTTTAATGAAAATCTTCTAATTTGATATATGCATTTTTCTTCGCTGAATTACAAACTTTCAGAACTAAAATTATATTCTCCTGAAAGAAACCTAGATTGGAAATGGGTTGTTATTGCCAAGCTCTTAACAAAGTTTTTAATTTACCTTTTAAAAATTATATTTGACTTTCACATGTTAGGAAAGTGCTGATTTTGAATAAATCTTTGAGAACTGCCCTATCTGGAGCAATTTTTGTTAAATACAGAAGAAAAAAAATAATTAACTCTTAAATGATTCAGACGGCATTGCTCAATTAGTCACAAGACTATGCTTGATCAACTCCTCCAGTTCTTCAGTTGTACTTAGAGCACAAAGAGAGGAAAAGATGATAATTAACAGAGTATGTAAGACTTTCTGATTACTAAAATAGATGTCTCTGTAGCTTCATCAGGAAGTTTATTCATAATAATGTCTACTTTTTAGCCAGTTTTAATACCTCTTAAAAAGGACAAACTATCATCACAATAATGTATTCACTCTTATAAATTACAATTAATTGTGCAGATGGGAGACATAAGTATTATAACATCTGAAATCTAGAAATTCTCTTCATTAATGTTTCTTTCTCATTAGAGGAAATTAATCTTAAAATGTTAAATAGAAAAGGTAAATGGTGTTTGTTAGTTGAATCAAAAATGTACCCCTAATTTCAACTGATCATCATTCAGTTTGGGGTCATTATTACTGTATCCAATGATTTAAATCAATAGACTTAGAAAAAGCTTTTCACATTCAAGTGAAATCTAGGATTTGCTTGAATTTGTCCCCTATGAAGATACTGCAAAATTTCACAAAAGAACTCTTTGTACTATTGCTACTTTTTAGAACTAAATTTTTAGCTATTTTCTCAGAAACTCCTTGAAATGAACAGATGTCTACAGAATACTGCTTATCCTGCTTAAAGAAATGAAAATTAAGGGATAAGGAAAAACAACAAACTCTTTGAAATTCATTTGACAGTAATTGCAATGCACAAACCAAAAAATTGTCAGTAAACTTTGGTTAGAAAAGGAATGTGTCCAACAGTAAAGACACAGAAAAACAGAATAAAAGATGAATTGAATAGAAATGGATAGAGAGGCACAAAAATACACACACATATACAAAACATCTAGTGCAGTTTTGTTAACTGGCATGAGCTTTTTGTCCCTGGTTTTTGAGTCCCAAGGAAGAGTAGTAGCCTGGACAATCATATTTTAAGATTGATTATATCAGGAAAATAAAAAATATATAAATTCCTTTAAGAATTTCCATTGGGAGATTTTACATTACCAAATAGAATATGGACTTGCATATACTGCATATATTTTACTCAGGATGGATAAAGAGTTCTTTGAGTAATGAAATATTTTACTAATAAAAAATCTTTAGACCATCACTAAAATAGTTTTATTATATATTTTTCAGCTTTACTGAGGTATAATTGACAAATTAAATGGTAAGATACTTAAAATGTGCCATGTGAGGATTTGATATAAACAGATTTACAAGGTTAAAGCATTTCTCCCCATTGAGTTAATTAACCCATCTATCATCTCACTTTTTCGTTCGTTTGTTTATGGTGAAGACATTGAAGTTCTACTCTCGTAGCAAATTCCAATCATACAATAGTGTTATTACCTAAAGTCATCAGGTTATACAGTAGATTCTCTGATTTTATTCATCTTATAACTGAAATTTTGTATCATTTTACCAACCTCTCCTTATTTCCCCCACTCCCTAGCCCCTGACAACCACTTTTCTACTCTCTGTTTCTAGGAGTTCATTTTTTTTTAATTCCATATATAAGTGATATCATGTAGTATTTGTCTTTCCCACTCTGAGTTATTTAATTTAGCATAATGCCCTCCAGCTTTATACGTTACTGTAAATCACATAATCTCCTTTTTTCCTGGCTGCTGATTAGTATTTCACGTTATGCAAACATACACCCAACACCTTTATTTAACTGTTGATAGACACTTAGACAGTTTCCATACTTTGGCTTCTGTAAACAATGCTGCAATAAACATGGCAGTACAGATATCTCTTTGAGATAATGAGTTTACTTCTTTTGGATATATATCTCAAAACTGGATGAATGATCATATATGATAGTTCTATTATTATTTATTTATTTATTTATTTAAAATTTTTTGATAGAGCACAACAGTTGGTGGGGAGGGACAAAGAGGGAGAGAGAGAGGATCTTTTTTTTTTTAATTTATGATAGTCAGAGAGAGAGAGAGAGAGAGAGAGAGAGAGAGAGAGAGAGAGGCAGAGACACAGGCAGAGGGAGAAGCAGGCTCCATGCAGGGAGCCCGACGTGGGACTCGAACCCGGGTCCCCAGGATCATACCCCAGACTGAAAGCGGCGCCAAACCGCTGGGCCGTCAGGGCTGCCCTATGATAATTCTATTTTTGATTCTTTGAGGAACCTCCATACTGTCTTCACAATGGCTGTACTGATTTACACTCTGACCAACAGTGTACAAGGTTCTTTTTACTCCACATCCTGCCAACACTTGATACCTCTTGTCTTTTTTAAAATAGCGATCATAGGAGTTCCAAGGTGATATCTCATTGTGGTTTTAATTTGCATTTTCCTGATAATTAGTGACAATGAGCATTTTTTCATTTCCATTGACCACGTGTATGTTTTCTTTGAAAAAAATACTGTTTTAATTCCTTTGCTCATTTTTAAATTGTGTTATTTGTTCTTTTGCTTCGAGTGGTATGAGTTCCTTTTATATTCTTTAAATAAACCTCTTATTAGATATCTGGTTTGCATATATTTTCTCCCATTCTATAAGTTGTTTTTTCATTTGTGGATGATTTCCTTTGCTAAGCAGATTTTTTTTTTTAAGTTTGATGTAGTCCTGAATTACAGCTTTAAGTGGAAGAAAATAAAAATGACAATTATATATAAAACTTCTCTCTCCCTTTCTCTTTGTTGTAAGTTTTTCTAATGATAGAAGGATCCTTAATAATGAACTGACAAAATCATGAAATGATTTTTATATTCAAATTACCTCTCTAAAATGATTTAATCATTTTAATGCATGTTTCATTGAGTGTACTTCTCAAAATAGGTTGCACCACAAAAAACGATTCAAAAAAAAAACACATGCTTATTTTTCACACATACTACATGTATATCACA